CTGCTATTTTCATAATCACTAGTAAAAATACCTTAAAAATCGGGGTTGAGAGGTCGCTTGAAAGAAGTTTAAGAGGTTGATGTTCGGCTGTGGTCAGAAAAATTAGTTTCTCTTATTTCATATATTAATTTATGCTGTTTACTCACTATGAAAGTTTTCACTAAGCCTGTTTCCCCTCCAAGGCCACACAGTTGCCCTGCGTGAGGGTGTTTGTAGACAAGACATTCCTTCTTCCCATAAAAAACTAGATTCTTTCTCAAGATTTATTCATAACTGTTTAACCAAAGTGTTTGTAGTTTGTTTTTACTCTGACTACTTTCCATTATTGTAAATAATAGGGACAGGGCGCTGCCCAGTTTAGAACAGGGCGGATTACCATGCATAAGGACTGTATGATCAACTGTTCTCTCTTTGCAAAGATAAAAATTAAGAGCCGACTGAATGAAATCCATGGATCTTCATTTATTTAACTGGAGTAGATAGTTGAATACTTTTTTTCCCACTACATCGGTAGACGATCCACAATGGAAAACCCACAAATTCAGGAAAAGGAATTTTTGCCTTCTTAAAACTTTTTTTAACATAGTAAATCAATACACTTTTCTATATTAGGTTGAAAATATAATTAACAGCCAGTAAACTAGTGAAATTTGTAATCGATACATGGTAAGGCCAACTTTAGCATGTAGCATAGATAATTTTCACTGCATGGCACTATTTGTGTGTTCAAATGTATTCAAACACTTTTTTCTTTGATTGAAAAGTTTTGTTTTTCATTGAAGTGAAGCTGTTTTTAATTGAAAATATATTTTTTGATCAAGCAAACCTTTCTTCAATTGAATGATAAAGAAATAAATCTACCTTCACTGTCCCCTGGTTTGCAGGGTGTCTCTCCATAAAATATGACTAATCATGGTGGCCATCATAAACAAAAATCTCCTTTTGGAGCCTTTTTGTTTTGCAAAGTGCCCCCTACTGTGGGCTCACTGTTATTACAGGTGGTGTAATCACAAAAAAAAGTTGATGGCAATGTTAATTTCTGCTACACAATAAAATTAACTGTTAAACTTAAAAAAAAAAATGCAGTTTAAAGGTGGCAGTTTTGGGGATTACTTCATGGTGTACAGCATTTGACCTTTCTTTGTCAAACTGTCAAAAAGGTTGGTTGAAAAGGGTGCTAAAACTTTCTTTTACGTCAAAGGATGGACACCAAGAAAACATTGGGAACCACAGATATAACATATAAAGTAATACAAACGTTGGAGCAAAAATTTTCCTTTCAAAATAAACTTGCATTTTGCACATTTTTGTTTGAAAATATGCCCATTTTTCATCCAGTGATATTGAGGTCAATGATGTTGCAAGAAATTAACATTTCCTATGAAGAAATAAAAGTATTGTCCAGTAAAACTACATCCTGAAAGCATATATTGACCAGTGGCACCCCACTCATCAGTGTAAATTGTAGTTGCCTGAGTTTAGCATTATATCCCATTAGGACCAATTCTCTTTACTTTATACATGCTCCCAATTGGTAGAGTTATTAGACAGCATGGGATTAATTTCCACTGTTATGCTGATGATACCCAGCTATATCTGTCTATAAATCCAGATGAAGCTAACCCATTACATAGATTACAGGCATGTCTTGAAGACATAAAAACCTGGATGACTCTTAACTTTCTGCTTCTGAATGCAGACAAAACAGAAGTTATAGTCTTTGGACCAGAGTCTCTGAAAAAGAAACTGATTAGCCAGTCACTTCATTTGGATGGGATTAAACTGATTTCAGATGATAAAGTAAAAAATCTTGGTGTTATTTTTTTATCAGGACCTGTCATTTAAATCCCATATCAAAGAGGTTTCTAGAATATCCTTCTTTCATCTGAGGAACATTGCAAAAATTAGAAATCTCCTGTCCAGGGGTAATGCTGAGAAACTAGTCCATGCATTTGTTACTTCAAGGCTGGACTATTGTAATTCTTTACTATCAGGAAGTCCACAAACTGTAGTTAAAAGCCTTCAGCTGATCCAAAATGCTGCAGCCAGAGTTCTAATGAAAATTAAAAAGAGAGATCACATCTCTCCTATCCTGGCTTCTCTTCATTGGCTTCCTGTTAAATCAAGAATAGAATTTAAAATCCTCCTTCTCACATATAAAGCCTTAAATGGCCAAGCTCCATCTTATATCAGAGATCTGATTGTTCCTTATGTTCCTAACAGAGCACTCCACTCTCAATCTGCAGGTTTACTAGTGGTTCCTAGAATTTCTAAAAGTAGAATGGGAGGCAGATCTTTTAGTTATCAGGCTCCTCTCCTGAGGAACCAACAACCAGTTTTAGTCCGTGAGGCAGACACCCTGTCTACTTTTAAGGCTAGGCTTAAAACTTTCCTTTTTGATAACGCTTATAGTTAGAGTGGCTCAGGTTATCCTGAGCTATCTCTATAGTTATGCTGCTATAGGCTTAGACTTTTGAAGGACATAGGGACCCCCATTTCATCATTCTGCTTCATTCTCTCTCTGTTCTCCTATTCTGCAGAATCTGTTAGTTCAATCTCTAACCTTCTGCTCTCTCTGCTTTTCCTCAGAGTAGCTTTGCCTCGTCTGTTCCTGTTTGGCTGTGACGTCATCCTGGAAAGAAACATCAGCTGTGCTGCTTCCATCAACACCCTTGTTTATAGATGTTGGAGATCGGCCTGTTTTCCAGTGTAGTCCTGTTTCTCTGACCGTGACTGAGTGGATGTGCTCTCTTCGTCCTCTGGAATGGGAGCTGGCTCGGAGCTCGTCTGCCTGGCTGTGTGTTTCCTGGACGGGGCCGCCTTTTACAGCTGCTTTTTGTGTCTCTGCTTCCGTCTCCTTGAACCCCAGCCGGCCTCGGCAGATGGCCGCTCACACTGAGCCTGGTTCTGCTGGAGGTTTCTTCCTGTTAAAAGGGAGTTTTTCCTCTCCACTGTCGCTACAAGCATGCTTAGTGTGAGGGATTGTATTTGAGTCAATGAGTCAATGCAATCAACTGGTTTTCCTTAGACAGAAAACTTTGTATCAATTTGACTGTATGATCTGGTTGAACTGTAAAGTGCCTTGAGATGACATGTGTTGTGAATTTGGCGCTATATAAATAAACTGAATTGAATTGAATTATGCACAGCAAGCGACGTAACTCTAAAAATCACACAATGAACCAAAGTATGAGTAGGTGTTTACTTAAGTCTTTATGATTTCTACAGGCAGGTTTACCACAATAGTAGATTCAAACGCTGAAATTATGGCTTTAGTTTCAGTGTGCCACCCCAAGATTTTTAGTGGCCCAATCTGGCCCCCCCGTGAAACATTTCTGGAGGCACCACTGCTCGAGATCTTGCTTGGGATGAGCATGATGGAAAATGCACATTTATCATGCATTTTTTTATTTAACATGATCTGACCAAAACAAAAATTCAAAAAATGGAAATAAATTCAAACCAAAGCACAGGCTCCGTAAATAAAGTGCCTACAAAATATTGCAAACTGAAAAAACTAAATTTCCTATAACTGTCTCAAAGTTTCTTTGCAAAGGAAGCCATCTAGGTTAGATAATAGATCTTTTAGATATAAGAAATCTGTTATAAGGCTCTTATAACTTTAGAGCCTTATAACTAAAAAGGAGCCTTTATTACCAGTTTTAGTCCGTGAGGCAGACACCCTGTCAACTTTTAAGGATAGGCTTAAAACTTTGCTTTTTTGATAAAGCTTACAGTTAGAGTGGATAAGGTTATCCTGAGCTATCTCTATAGTTATGCTGCTAGAGGTTTAGACTTCTGGAGGACATCGGGACCCCTATTTCATCATTCTGCTTCATTCTATCTCTATTCTCCTATTCTTCAGAATCTGTTAGCTCAATCTCTAACGTTCTGCTCTCTCTGTCTTTTCTCATAGTATCTTCACCTCCTCTGTTCCTGTTTGGCTATGACGCCAACCTGGAGAGAAATATCAGCTGTGCTTCTTCCATCAACACCTTTGTTTATAGATGTTGGAGCTTGGCCTGTTTTTGCAGTGTTGTCCTGTTTCTCTGACTGTGACTGGCTGGATGTGCTCTCTTCATCCTCTGACATGGGAGCTGGCTCGGAGCTCGTCTGCCTGGCTGTGTGTTTCCTGGACAGGGCCGCCTTTTGCAGCTGCTTTTTGTATCTCTGTTTCTGTCTCCTTGAACCCCAGTCAGCCTCAGCAGATGGCCGCTCACACTGAGCCTGGTTCTGCTGGAGGTTTCTTCCTCTTAAAAGGGAGTTTTTCCTCTCCACTGTCGCTGCCTTGAGATGACATGTGTTGTGAAATAAACTGAATTGAATCTTCAACCACGCTGGAAGGTTGAATATCCTTACAGATAAATGTAGCGACAGCCTTGTTAAGTTTCTGGGATTGCAGAGATCTTGCTTTCGGAGCAGATAAGGTCTGCGGGTGGTGTCTTGTTAAATGGTTTCAGAGATTCGTTGAGTTGCAAATTTTGCATACTGTCAGGCTCGATCCAGTTCATTGCTGCTGTCATCTTGTTTAGATGGATGGATTTCTATAGAGGTTCTACAACAGAATGAAAATAATAACAATACATGGATTCTAAGTTTGATTAGTTCTTTTAAGGTGTCACAGCACTGAAAACTATGTGTTTTGTATGATTTTTCAATTAAAATAGACTCTTTTACTAAATAAAAGTATAAACAGTAAAACTGAAATGATTCATAATGCAAAGATGTTCCTTAAAACTACAGAATATCAGAATAAAAGGGCCTGAAAATCCATTAGAAGAGTCTACTGCATCTAAATGCACTGATGTGTTTTATCATAATGTGTCCAGCAAGCTTAGTAATCAGTCTGTGATTCTCACGGTTCCTCAGACTTTCACTGGAATCCCGGCTTTCATGGATCGGCCACTAGGGGCGCCGTTTGCCCTAAAACCACAAGTCCTGCGTTTAATGGAGGCGCGATATTAAAGATTGGACTCCGTGGCACGTGCGCTAATAAATCCTATTATAAAATTCTGAGCACGTGATCGGGGGAAGGAAATGGAGGCGAGTTATTGTTGGACGTAAATCCTGCTTCACCGCAGCTATTGTCTTTGGTGATGCTGCGTGAACGGGCGGGTTTTAGGACCCACGGGTCGATTCGCGTTCGGGTGGTAAAGTTGTCTGGATCCTTGCGCTGTGGATGTGCAGAAAGCAGCCGGACTGAATCCAGTTTGGATCCCGGCGCTGCTGGGCAGCCGCTCCGTGGCGTTTGACGTGGCTGCGGCGCAGCGGCGCTTCAGGATCACAGGCGCAGGGGGAAGGGGAGGGGGGGGGAGCGTGGGCTGCAGTGTCCGTGTTTTCCGGAAGAGAAGGTGTGAAGCATGGGACACATCTGCTGCCAGGGGCTGATCCTGCCTCACACCTAGAAGATCATCTGCTCTCAAGCAGTCGGGACATCTCCTCCTCCCGGCGGAGAGCTGCAGGATAGCCCGTTTTGGGGTGAGTGAAACTTTTCTATCCAGCTGGATCCACCTTCTGCCCCATTTATTGGAGAAAGAGTGCAATGCAGATGGCTCCTTCTGACCGTGTTCCTGTTGGTGGGGCGGGATGCTGCCCTGCTCTGCACAGCGTGCACGGTGTGCATCTGTGTCATGCACCTGGCACGAGAGGATGCTGCCTCTAAAGACACCTCATAAACATTTAAGGAACCCTCATCAACTTTATTTTAAAAGCTGGATGAATTGGATTAGTTAGTCTGAGAGTGTGTGCATGGAAAACAGAAATGTGTAATTAAGTGTATGATGCTCAAAGTGTTTAATGAGAAATAACTGGAAGTCAGTAGGGATCTTTTTGAAGGGATGATGGCAACAAGTCCACCTTTAGGGGCCTGCTTTACAGGTTGTTACATTATTTAGTTCATAAAAGGCCTGGAGGCTGATGAGAGGTTTACTAACAGAGCCTGTCTAAAGCATAAGCAAACTAAGCAGCTACTTCCCCACACCAGTGCCGGTTCCAGATTAAATTAAAGGCCCTGTCACACCATGCCAATTTAGCCAGCATATGCCCAAAGTCATAGAATCTACTAAAACGCTGGCATGTGCTGAACTTTCGATGAATTTCTTTTAAATTTCGGGCGTATACAAAGCGTATTCATAACGAGTCCAGAACTTATATCCAACGACAGCCTAAATTATGCATAAGGCACAGCAGCGTTATGAAGCATAAGTTAAAACTGCTCCCCTCAGGCGCATCGCGGAGCAGTGAGGGGAGCAGCAATACTCTTCCCACCCAAAAAAAGAGAAAGAGAAGGTTTTCAGTCACAGCAGACTGAGCTTCATGGGTGCTTTGCAGGACGCTTGTTGGTCGTGGGTGAGGAAGCAAAGAGGATCCACCCTATGATGCAGTCTGGAGGAGATCTGACGGTTTCCTCCTGTGAACCCCCTTTTATACCAAAACGCTACCAATAATTGAATTCAATTCAGTTTATTTCTATAGCGCCAATTCACAACACATGTCATCTCAAGGCACTTTACAGTTCAACCAGATCATCCAGTCAAATTGATTCAAAGGTTTCTGTCTAAGAAAAACCAGCTGATTGCATTGACTCATTGACTTGAAGGCAATCCCTCAGAAGCAGAGATAGAAAAGGCTACTGTAGAAGGCGGCCTCGTCCAATACCCCATTATACAGTAGCTGTAAGTTAGAAACACTTTCAGCGGTCGTCTGGAACACGTCAAATACGTTGATATTTGCTGGCAATAAGTTCTTAATAAGTTATTCATCGGTTTTGGATAAGCCAATGTACACTAGTAGAAAACATGCAAATTGAAACGGATGAACGGGTCCACCCCTTGGAATCGGGGTCGCTTGGCTTCTTTTGTTACCCTGCAATGCCCCATACCTGTCTATGTCTCTGAAAGAGGGGTCGTTAAAGGGAATTGTTGACCTGGCTGAATAGTCTTTTGTTCCCCTGATTGGGCAGCATCCACGGCCTGAGTAAACAGTGCAGCATGCTATCTGGGGGGAAGGAGGAAAGAGGCAGCAGAAGCAAACGCGCAAGTAAAAAATGCAGAAGAAGAGACTTGCTCGATTTTACGATTTAGCTAAATTTCTAATCGTTTAAAAACATGAATTAATCGAATGAATTTGATTTATCACCCAGGCCTATAACCCAATGTTGTTAGTCTGATGAATCTGCTTCAAGTGTCTGAGCTGAAGTCCTGTTTCCTGTTCCTTGTCTAAAATTATAAACAGTTTTTTGTTTAAGCACAACTAATGATTTTTGTCACTGATGCAGCTTTACTCTGATAAACATCCCCAGCAACAAAGAAACCTGCTTTATTACACATGTGTAGGCATAAAGGCCGGACAACCAAACTCCATTTAGGGCTCTGCACATCTTGGCTCGGCTTTGTGTCACTGCAAGATCAAAAATAAAGCCATAAATAAACACTTATTTTAATTTGGATGATAGAGCTCTGTACCCAGAGCAGCACTCTGTGAGGGGGCAGCACAAGCATTAAAGGGTTATCTATCATAACGAGGTTTCTGCTTTCTCTCTCTCTCTCTTGCATTATCTGTTTACTTTTTCCCTGCACGACTACTGCAGGAAAAAAGAGCCTGTTTCTGCAGAAGCAACACGATGCCTGCTCTGTGCAGAGACAACCAGTTGGCAGTTTGACAACTTCTTTCCCCTGAGGACGTGTATAAAATGAGTTCAGCCGAGCTGCTTAGAGGCAGTTTTGCAAAAGTGCTGATACACTTGTGGTGCTCAGCCGCTCAACTTCCCTATTTTGTGCTTGTTAAAAGCTTTGCATCCAGTTTTTTTTTTTATGGGTTGTAAAAGTGACAAACGGCGCTGAAAGACATAACGTGAAAAGGCTTGTTGGAGGAATACCATGAGCTTTAGATGGGTTTCCCAACCAGAGCAATTCAGCAGCAAGTGAGTGGCTTTTGTTCTGTCCTGCTGGGCATGTGCACATTTACAGAAATGCTGCAGAATAGTGCTTTAGGCCATTCTGTTGAAAGAGAAGAAAAAAAAAATACAAATGGAAGTTACTTTGCTGAAAGCTGTTTTGAACTATGGATTTTCTTTTTCCTTGATGATTTCAGTGTTGAAGATTTTAGCCCTCTCTTTACACAGCATGGCTTCTCTTTACAGAAGCTGTCTTTAAGTAAAAGTGTCAACCTCCCCGATCGTTCAGTCTCTTGGGGAAATGGGTACAGTACCTCTTTATATTGTGTTCCACTGCCGTTATCGCATGATGTCGCAACACTTTCCAAGCATCACTACATGCATTTTACATTTCTAATTGGATGCTTTTTCTTCTCTTTTTGGTTTTGCATGAAGCATGTCATTAGTTTCTATTACAAATACCTTTAGAGCATCATATTCCACCCAGTCTGACCAGTGGCTGCCTGAAGGATGCCATTCCCACAGTACAATGCTGCCCCCTCTATGCCTCAAGAATGGTGCATTGAGGGTGCCTTTGGTTTTGTTTTTACTGGAGATGAAAACAAATTATCAACCTACAATCGATTGTAAAATAATAGTTTATTAGTTTAAAATTAAATTATCTGATCATGTCGGAATTTCTTACTGTTACCAATGTTGTTACCACTTGAGGACTTCACTGTTTGTTCTAAAGCGCTGCCTCGCTGCTATTTGAAAGAGAAGTAATGCTAGAGGAGAAATGTAAATTGATCAGGATACTAATCCGGGATTATTCACACCCGTTATAGCAACAAGGATGAAGTATAAATACTGGATACATTCCTTCAGTTACTAACTAAATAGTAGCAGGTAGCTGTGCTGCACGGTGGAGCAGTGTCAATTTCTCTGCTGATATGATGCAAGTAAACACATGGCGGGTAGAAAAAGACTGGCTGACAGTTAGCACTTAGATCGAGAAGACTATGGTTACTTAATGTACATCATGGATAAAGGTCTTAACATTCCTCTGGGAAAAACCAGAAACTCTTTTAAAACAGCAGAAAGTCTTTCCCAGCACTGATGTTGCATAGCTAAAAGCATGTTTTAGAGTCTCTGTACCAATGGGTTCATAAAATCCACGGTTCGGATCGGTTCACGGTTTCGTGGTCACAGTTTTCGGTTCGGTATATGTTGATTGTTAGGAAAATCTATTATGGCTTGTATAGTCAGGTTAAAACTGAAAGAAAAAAGTAGTCTGACATTTGATACATCATTGTTACATCTTAGGTTAAAAGTAGGTGAGATTCTGGCATTGCAAGAGAGGAGACAGTGCTTCATTTATTTGACAAACAATCTTTAACAAAGAAGCATGGGCTCTATCAAAACTAGACTTAGGTCCCTTTATCCCACTTTGTCCCAATATCCCACTCCTTTAGTTAGGCATTTCGCCCTCTCTGACTCATCACCGTATTTCTGTTTAAAAGCTGCGGGGAGTTGAAGTTGTCCTGTCGACTCTTTCCCTCTCCTCCTTGCGCTGCCAACTGTCTCACTGGGATGATGTCTCCGCAGGTGAGCTGACATGTTGGTCGTGTTGCTGTTAGCATAAACACCACGTGCTGCACAATGCTTGCACACTGTTGCACTTTTATCCACAACCTTCTTTCCGCTGTCATCATAGATCACTCTAAATGCAAAGCGCTCCCATACAGCAGACCTATAAAGTGCTGCTGGCGCGTCTTCCAACTCCTGTTCTTTCCCACTCGCCATACCCACACAAAACTCCACAACAACTGATTGCCGTTCTACCCAGCATGTGTTTACTTGCATAATTTCAGCAGAAAAATTGACACTGCTCCACCGTGCAGCACAGCTACCTGCTACTATTTAGTTAGTAACTGAAGGAATGTATCCAGTGTTTATACTTCATCCTTGTTGCTATAATGGGTGTGAATAATCCCGGATTAGTATCCTGATCAATTTACGTTTCTCCTCTAGCATTACTTCTCTTTCAAATAGCAGCGAGGCAGCGCTTTAGAACAGTTGGCTACGCTGCTTTGCTTCTTCTTCTTGTTTACTACAGTTGGTTGGCTTTGGTCGCAGTGCCGCCACCTTCTGCTCTGGAGAAAAAGAGAAAGAGGAGCAGCGCATGAACCGAACACAACACACGCGAATCGAGACAGTTGAATCGAACGGTTCGGACGGTTTTCATAAACCGTTCCATACCTAGTATATATATAAATATCTATATATCTATATCTATATATCTATATAGATATATATATATATATATATATATATATATATATATATATATATACACATATACATGCATATATATATATATATATATATATATATATATATATATATATATATATATATATATATATATATATATATATATACATATATGCATGCATATGTATATGGATGAAACAATTAATTGTGAATATCCGTATAGATATAATGTAATACATGCCTTTATCTGACAGAGCGACCCACCTTGAGCCGCAATTATTACAAAATTTAAAAAAAAAAAGAAATATGTAAACATTTTGCATTTAAG